GATTGTATATCTGTCTCGCCTTATTCTTGAGTGTCGAGCATAGGCCAGATCACCTTGTAACTCCTCTCAGTGCCATTCTCCTCAGACCATAATGATCTATCTTTTCCCCGGCACTGTTCACTTGCTCACAACATCCAGCTTGTTATATATCAGTTTACCACAAAGAGGTGCAGAACCGGCCAGTCTATCTGCCTGCTCATTTCCCAACACACCAGTATGACCTGGAGAAAATATTCAAAGGATGCTAACTACCTGAGACCACTGAAGTGATGCTTGCCACTCTGCACGGAACATGCCTGTCTCCACCTTTCTCAACATGCTCTGTGAGTCAGTTACAATGACAGCATGTGTGTAAACATGATTCTCAAGCCAGTGGAAGGCAGCAGTGACTGCTTCCACATCCATTCTCAAACTAGACCTGATATATGCCAGGCTTTGTTGCCCCAAGTAATGTTTATTCACCTTCACTATGAGCCACTATGCACTTTATAGACTTGGACAATGAACAGGCAACTAGAAAATCAAATTGTCTCTAGAGATGTGTATGTAAAGAAGAATAGGTAATATTTCATTCACAGAAAAGAACATCAAAATCACAGATTCTGAAGACACAAAGAGACTAGGAATGGAAAAATGTTGCTGAATGAAAAAAAAAAAAGAAAGAAGTGAACTATTTTAGCCATATTAAAAGAAATAACACTGATGAAAATCATACTTGAGGAAAAAGCTGAAGGGAGCACAAGGCAGACAGTGGTACATGGGAGGAAAACAGCACTGAAGGGAGCACAAGGCAGACCGTGGTACATTGGAGGAAAACAGCAGTCAGAGTGTACATCCAGTACAAAAGACAAGAGCATGCTGGAGATCCACTGCAGCCAATCTTCAATGTGGAGATGGCAGCTGACTGACTGAAGCACATAGAGAACTGACCCCATGGACACTGGATTGGAGTCAAGTGGCAGTGACACGTCTAAACCCATGAAGGAAACATTAGCAACCTTGTTCAGACTAACATCAAGAGGATCAATTTCACTGCCTCATTTTATGCTATATCTTCTTCTTCATTGTTTTTACCGGCCGTAACTCTGGTGGAAAGTTCTGATTCTTTGTCCATGTCTAGACTTTGATCTTGTTCCACAACTTATGTGTTACATGCACAGCAGTTTTACACATATGACTTATTTGTATGCAGATTGTTGGGTTTTTTCCCTCTCAGGCAGATGCGATGCACTCCAACTTCGAATATTAGTAGTCACATACGTCATACTTGATGAGGAGGAGTGGGCTTTTTATCCCACAGTGGGTGCCTCTGCAACCTACACAGGGATTATCCTATATGATATGACAGAGTCCCTATCTGCAGAATGGTTATTCGCCTGGCGAAAGCATCACTCTGCAAGTCAAGTGATAATCCTCAATGATCTCAGTAAGAACTCCACTCGTGAACTAACCATGCCAGTGAAATAACCCCACAACATTCAGATCACGAGGCAAACGGCCTGACCATTTTGTAGCAAAAACCTCAGATTTGTATTATTATAAAATTTAATATTTATAAAAACTCTTGTTAGGATTCATAGGGAAGAATGTATCAGCCTCCTTCTGAGACTGTCAGAGTTGAGATTATGGAGAAAAAAAAACAATCCCCCCTTATGGTTATCAGATAGTAGTGCAAGAGTTACACTGTGGTAGAGCTTGGTGCCTCACCGGCAATATGCCTAATGTCAGTGATGCATATATTGCAGCTAGCCTCTGTTGTGAAGATGGCTTCATGTTTTCATTTCTTAAAAACGGACTTTAGAGCCTTTTTTTTAAAGAATATGATGGGAACTAACATATCACACCACATGCCAGATAAGCCTAACATCTCACACCACATGCCAGATAAGCCTAACATCTCACACCACATGCTATATTAGTCTAACATCTCACACCACATGCCAGATAAGCCTAACATCTCACACCACATGCCAGATAAGCCTAACATCTGACACCACATGCCAGATAAGCCTAACATCTCACACCACATGCCATATAAGCCTAACATCTCACACCACATGCCAGATAAGCCTAACATCTCACACCACATGCCAGATAAGCCTAACATCTCACACCACATGCTATATTAGTCTAACATCTCACACCACATGCCAGATAAGCCTAACATCTCACACCACATGCCAGATAAGCCTAACATCTCACACCACATGCCAGATAAGCCTAACATCTCACACCACATGCCAGATAAGCCTAACATCTCACACCACATGCCAGATAAGCCTAACATCTCACACCACATGCTATATTAGTCCAACATCTCACACCACATGCCAGATAAGCCGAATATCTCACATCACATGCCAGATAAGCCTAACATCTCACATCACATGCTATATTAGTCCAACATCTCACACCACATGCCAGATAAGCCGAATATCTCACACCACATGCCAGATAAGCCTAACATCTCACACCACATGCTATATTAGTCCAACATCTCACACCACATGTCATATTAGTCCAACATCTCACACCACATGCCAGATAAGCCGAATATCTCACACCACATGCCAGATAAGCCTAACATCTCACATCACATAAGTCCTTCAGGACTCCCTTTACATAAAGAAAGTAGACATGGAATGTTTATACATAAAACCTGTACACATTATTTCTACAACTGACCAAAAAATATATAATACAGAATAAAGAAAAATAATATAGTGTAACTTTATGGCAAAATGCCTTTGGAAGTGAAATGATGAAACAGGAAACATGTGCTGTTAAACATTTCTAATAGAAAATATGTTTCTTTTTCTTCAGCTCTTCAACAGTGAAACACAGATCTTCAACCAGTTTATGCCATGCCACTTTTCCTTGCTAGCTTGTTAAGCTCACTCCCTGTCCTTCCCATTTTCTTTTCATTTTCTTCTGCATGTATTTCAGGTATCCCTTGATTTTTTTTTTTGGTCTTGGGAGTTTTAGTACAAGGAGACTGGTTATATTGTTGCCAGGTTTTTCATGCCATATATTTCCTATATAGAATGAGCATGCAGACACACCGACAGGTATACACAGGGACACATACACGCATAAGGACTTCCGGTCAAAATGGACGTTAGGCAGCAGCACTGTTCGAAACAGAGGCACATTTTTTGCTTCTGCCGGACGGTGCATTTTTGCTCCATTTGTAGACTGGATATAGTTTCGTTGGCCAGCTTCTGAGTTGAATGCATGGCGTGACCCTGTGAGCTGCGGATTGCATTTGGAATGTTTTTTCGACTGTGACCAACATGTTGGTGTGAATTGTAGATTCAGAAAATGGTGCGATGCCTGTCGTGCAGTGTTCTGGTGCCCGTATGTGTTTAAATTTGATCGCGTGGGCAACTGCTGATCTGTTGGCCACTTCTGCTACCATCAACGATGAACTGCAATTCTAATACTGTGATAAACATTCTGTGTGTTTTTCGTTGGCACAGGAGCGGAGCAAAGATGGAGTGACCCGTTTGCTATGAAGCTGAAACTAAGACTTCCAGACTTCCTATATAGAATCAAATCTGTATCGAGGCTGATTTGAATAAAAATTCAAAACTGATCTAGGTCAAACAAGCCAAAGTTTGGTTCCAGGTAATGTTCTGGGATGAAAGGTGGCCATCATGATGATGACCACACCACATATAAAGTAGCCATTAGTCTATTTAAAAAAAAAAAACATTTCCAGCATTAAATGTATGGTATGAACAGGATTTGTATCCAGCGCTGGTATCTCTTGCTTGTCCTGTTTAAATGGAATCTGTAACTGTCAGCTCAACATTAGGGATTTTGTCAAACTATTTTATTGCTTCTTTTCAGCAATAATTAACAAGAGTCTGTTGTTTATTAGTAATAATGTTTGCCGTCAACTGTGTTCCTTATCTAAACAGCAGTACTTATTCTACGTTAGAGAAAAATATTCTCTAATCTGATTTAGGTTTCATTTCCTTTGACTTCCACAATTTTCTAGTGCTACGTAAGTTCCATAAGTCCTCTGTAATCACATTTATATATCTCTCTCTGTTGCTCCATCTTATCTATACTGATGCCTAAAAAAGGGTCAGATTCAACCTTTTGAAGTGAGGCTCAACCAAGAGAGATTGGATTATTGTTTGACATGTCATCTGATTTCTCTCCATGAATATGTTGGCCTAACTGTTGTGACCTCCCATCAAATGTGCTTAACTTGCATCAACTTTACGATTGGGATAGGAAGACAATTTTATCAGCGAATTCTGGACCAACAAGCGACTCTGTCGGGATCCAATTAATTACATTTCTGTTGTCTTCACACTCCAGTCTATCATCATTAGGAAAAAAAAGATGATAAAAGAAATCCCTGTCACACTATACATGAGCTGGGAGTGAAGCCTGAGCAAGCATGCCCATGCTGTCTTCAAGGTTAGGATAAGAAACATTGTAACTAACTTCTCACAGGAACAGTCAGCAGAGGTACCTTCAATTGGATGCTGCATCAGAAGGCTCAGCATAATGGGAGTGTCGACTGTCCAGTGATGTTAACTGTGATAACATAACACACATTTTGAGAATTTGGCAACATGCCTGAGGTTGTTCGTCCCCTCTGTTTCCTGCCTGTGATAAAGATTTAAACTTCAAACAGTTCTTCTGTATTGAGGTAAGCAGTTCTGTACTCTAAACCAGAGCTTTCCAAACTTTTCATGTTGGTGACACACATTTTAGACAAATATAATTTCATGACACAGTAATTCAGTCTACTAACAAACCAGGGGTTAACAAAACCCTTTTAACATACATTAAGCATTTAACTCTTTACATTTGCATGACACACCTTCACACAGTGGGTGATACACTAATGTGTTACAACACAGTTTTGAAAGCTCTGCTCTAAATGCTTCCATTGTGATTAGGCAAGCTGTTCCAGTGTAGAACTGGTCTATTTGTATAATATATTTTTATTTTGAAATATGAAACCAGACCAGCAGTGTTCACCTCTTCATGTACTCGACACCACTGTCAAGCCTTAAATCAGAATCTTCTAACTGTCCTCCACCTGCTCTGTGGCTGCCTGCCATGCTGGGTGCTGAGCCACTGCGGGCATCTAGAGGTCTGTAGCCCCTCTGCACCAGATATGAATAAACAGGAGGGTCTGTAGGCTGAATGTGTGACCCTTGCACTGCTGCCTGCTCATCTGAATAACCAGGAGGTGGGAAATTAGGAGCCATGGCCATCTGCTGAAACTGGTTAGGACCAACCATCACTGGTACAAACTGACCAGATGGGTATGCTCCATAAGGAACTTGCTGCATGTGAAGCTGAGCTGCTGGCACTGGCTGAGGTTGTGCTGCTCGTTTTAGTTCTGGTTGATGTCTGTGTCGGTGATCTTCTGAAATTCTACCATGATGATGATGATGTGGTCTTCTGTTCTCTCTTTGAGCCCTAGCACCCTGATCTCTGCTAGCATGGCTGCTGCGTGAACTTACTGCTTCAGACTCAGTTTCTGACTGGGTATACGATGACCCTGACCTCTCCGATCTACTTTCTGATGAAGATGGAGGCCGTTTCTTGACTGTACTGTCACTACCAGAGACTTCTGATTCCTCCTCTGAGGAAGGGTCAGATATATGATCACTCACGGCCTCTGCATACGATGGTGGACGCTTACGTTGCCAGCTTCTGTTGGTTTTTACCCGCGGTGTGATGACTTTCTCAACAAAATGATCAGAATCTTCTTCAGGTTCAGTGAAGGAAGCATTGCTGGATACATACTGTGATTTTGGTTTCTCTTTCTCAGCACCCATCAGTCGCTGTGTCTGTAATGTGTCAACTGTTGAGAAACAATAATCAAACAAGTTACAAATATCTGATTCTTATAAATGATATCTTTATGAAAATGCAAATAATATAATGTTTCTTCCGTAAGTCAGGTGTCATCTCCACAGTGAAAGTTGACTGCACTGGATTTCTGGGATTTTCTGACTTCCAGCGTGGTTGTAGGCTCTCAGTTTGTTGTTTATTTGTCTCTGTATGCATGGGTATGTGAGAGTGTGTGCATGCATGTGCGTGTATACAAATATGTGTATATGCATATCTGTATGTAAAATACTACCCATGCCTCTGCGTTTTTTTACTTGCTATTCATAATAAGTAAATTGTTTTATTAATACAACATGCTTTACACACTAAAATAAAACTGTTTGAAAGATGAATTCTTTAAAGGGTCAAATAAATAACAGGCCCAATTTGCAACTCTTTGAAAATAAAGCTTCTTGGTTTGTTCTATTGATGTTAACCTCTCACTTCTACTGATGACTGCCTGCTTTCAACTTGTCCTTCCAGTAATGTTTCTATAGAAATTGAATGTCTTTTATTTATTTTGGCTAGAGGTAATATTCACCGGTCTCATTTTTAAAAAAAAACGTCTTTCGACTATCCTCTTTTCATTCCCAGTCATCCCCAAACTGTTTTTGTTTCCACAAAATATATCCCCCAAAACATGTGTGTATCTGTGTCTGGTTCTTTTTTAAATATGACACATTCTTCTTTACCATCACATCAGAAATGTCTTACATCTTGTAGAACACTGATTCACTGCTCATCTGCCCTCCACACTGACCTTACCTGCAAGGTATCAGCTTGCTAATTTTCTTTTACATCTGCATAACCTGAATTTTTTTTTTTTTGTCTTGTGAAAAAGTTTACCAAACAATTTCAATTCTAAAACTTAAAGCTTGGTATTAACTCAGCTGCACAGAGAAGCTGCAAAATCGACACTTTCGGTTGAGTCCAATCCTCTGAGAAAGCTGACTTTTCTACAGTGATATGTTCACAGGATATACAGATAAGGCTATTGACTGTGTTGGCGCATGCACAAACATTTAGAGCGTTAGAATATGAATACGTTAATGAAAATAGCTTTGTGGAAAAAGATGGGAGTGGTAAGTTCTGTGAACTAAAAAGCTTTTGTAAAGCCAAGTTGACATCAAATTCTCCAGTAAACCTCAGTGACAGAGGTCACGCCACAAGTCACCTAACATATATATTATTTAGGCCCCGTAGAATGTAATCCATTTAATGCTTCAATCTGTTTGTGTTTATTTATAATTATATTTATACACCTTATGAATTTTAGTAGAGGTCGAGGAAGAGGGGGTGGGGGTGTTTAAAATAAATGCAGATAATTAAAAAAAAAAAAAATTTTTTTCATTAGTATTCTCTTTTTAAAGGATTTTTCAGGGGAATTTCCATGGGTTCATGAGCAGGCACTGGCTAAAGTGACCATAGCCTGTCTGTTCTTGATAGCAAGAACAACTTCAGTAAAACAAAGTCTACTGGATATGTGGCAACAACCTGAAACTGTGCCTACAGACAGTAGTGAGGGTAACTCCCTCAAAGTCGTACATCTGCCGGTGAGGCGGGGAACGGCAAACAAATAAGCCAGTAAAATGGATATTCACGCAAAACTAAGGTCGAGGTAAAAGCCAAAAATCCAAATGGACGAACTACCGGGACCTTCCGCCAGAATTCACAGCTGATGAACGAAGAAGAAGAGGTGTGGGTAACAACCTATCGCAAGCTGTAATGTTCATGACTTATTGCTAGCTGTAATAATCATACTTACACACACACACAAACTCCTACAGACTTTGTTGTAAATAGTGAACCAAAGCAAACTATAATGTTAGTAATTACTTGTTACAGGCTACAATATTAGTAACAGTCTACTATAGATTATAGCATCATTAAAGACCAACTGCAGACTGGTGTTAGTAACAATATACTGAAGACTTTCTTTAGTAGCCTATTGAAGTCTACTTAAGTGTCAGTAATGACCTACTACTGCAGTCTGCTAAGCTGTCAGCAATGCCCTACTGAATGTCAATTAATGACCCACTGTAGGCCAAGGTGTCAATTAATGACCTACTTCAGCTCAAGGTGTCAATTAATGACCTACTGCAAACTGTATGGTCAGTTATGGACATATTACAGACTGAGGTGTCAGAAATGACCTACTGCAGACACTAACAACCTGCTCATGTCTAGTGTTAGTAAATACCTACTGCAGACTGTAGTGGAGGAGAAGAAACAATTGTTTTCTCAGGGTGAGTAAAACTTATTATGTTCAGACCCCATCAAACTCCCTGGTGATGGACACAAACAGGCACACTCACCATTATTATATACATGGGCATTCCCATCGTCAATCCGTTTCATAGTTTTACCCAAGGGGGGATCTGTTTTATAATCAGAATACTGGCTGCCAGGTCCTTTACTTGGTTTCATCTCAACCGACCAAACATTCGATGCCTGACTCCTGGTATCGAAGGCAGCACCTGAAAGGTAACAGTGTCAGTTCTGATCCAGATGAAACAATTGCATGCAGCAGTCAATGTTCACTAGCCAGACACTCATTTCTTTTTTAAAATTTGTTTCATGAAATTTTTATTGTTTCATTTTGTTTCCTAAATGTTTCATTTCTTTTTTAATTTGTTTAATTTGATTTTTTTAATATTTCATTTTTTTCATTTTATTCTTCATTTGCTTCATTTCTTTTATTTATATCTTTTTTAAAGTAAAGCTGCTGTTGAGTATTTCTAGAATATCTTGCTCATAAGATCTTTGTAATTTACTACCAGTTTGCAAACTGTAAGTCCTAATGTTACACCAAATTAACTATCCTTGTTACTAGATGATTAATCAATTGTTAATCATGTGAGTGCATTTTGCAGCTAAAGTTTTCTATGTGATAAAGTAGCAAGTCTTGCTTCAGCTCTCTTTATTTGCTTTTTATATCATGCTCATAAGTTTATATGTAATATTTCTTGGTTTCCTTTCAGGACCCTGATAACACATATGAAACAGATAATCATGGGAATGCCCAATGTTACAGCTTAGCAGATAATCATAACAATAGAGGAAAACATGTTTTTTAGTCTTCAGCTGTTTCATTACAAACTGGAAAAAAAAAATTACTGTTTCATTTCATTTTGTGTGTGTGTGTGTATGATGTGCAAGTCACTAAACCATAACGTGCCCTTTAAGGGCCCTGATAACATATATGAAACAGATAATCATGAGAATGCCCAATGTTATAGCTTAGCAGATAATTACAAAAATGGAGAAAAAAATATGCCCCAGTGTGTGTAAAATAGTCAAAACTTCTATCCAAATTGTGACTGAAAATGTCAGAACTCTCATATCCATACTGCGACTGAACAGGTTATGTGGCTATATACATATGAAAAATGGACAGTAAACTGTAAAACATCTAACGGCACTGGAAATATGCTTTAAGTTGAAAATGCGCTGAACTTTCACACACATACACAAAAACAAATGAAGCAGTCCAACTAAAAAACAGATCCACAAACCAATAAAAAAAATTTTTTTAATAGGCACTGAGAGTCAAGATTTGTTAAAACATGTTATGAGGAAAAAAAACAACCTAAAAACCTAGTTAAAAATAAGCAACTTTGCTGCACAAGGATTAAAGATAAAAAAAACACCTAGATGGCTTGGACATAAGCAGGAGAAGAAAACAGACTTGATCCAAAATTTCAATGAATGTGTGAAATGGCAAACAATGGCTGCTTAAATTATGACCATGACACATGATGATAATGGGGTCGGAGCTCTCCTATATACACTGCGATTGAATAGGTCAAAACTTTTCCATGCATAAATCATCACTAATGTATATATCTTTACTCTTTATATACTTCTGTGTGTGTATATATATAAAACACATTTACAGCATGCAGTCAGCGAGCATTACAGTAACTGGTTGTCACTTTTGTTTTCTCCAATAAAATCTTTACTCTAAATTGAAGGCATATTTTTTCCCCTTTTCTATATATAAATAAACAATGGTTTGAAATGAATTCTGTCCGTATTCCATAGTTGTAGATTTCAAGCAGTACGATACACATGGCCAATAAGACACCTTTTTTGTTGGGGGTGCCTAGTTGACCATGTTCTTTGTGCACTTGTATCCATGGCGAGGCGCACACGCCACCTAGAGGTGACAGGTTCAATTCCCGGCACGGTAACTATAGCTTTCAATTTTTATGTTGTCTAGTGTGTTCTTCTATCTTTCTACTTCTTTCTGTGAATGCCGATCAATACACTTTATGTTACTTGATTAATTCATATATGTGAAGGTGTGTCATGTGAGGGTAATTTATTTATGTGTCTGCATCTCTTATAAGTGGTTGTTTTAATCTCTGGTTTGCTAGCAGGCTTAATTACTATGTGTTAAAGTTATGTTCGCCTAAGAAGTGTGTGTCCAATATAAAAAGTTTGGAAAGATCTGTATTATACACCAATGAAAAAAAAGATTATTATTAAAATGTTTCACTCTAACTTCTTCTTTCGTTCACTTGAAACAGATAATCTAAATATACACAGTTGCCTCTAGTATAAGCTTTACTGTAAAACTATAACTTAAATATATGTAGCTTTAACAACATTTGGTTTGTTTCATACCTTTTTTTATTGTTGCAAGCTGTTGGACCTCCCATTGTTTATTCAGCTTTTGATATTTACAACAGCACTGAATGAAAATAGCTACACAGATTGCAAGTATGAGTCCATAGAAACCTCCAATCATTGCAACAATCGTTTGTTGAGGAAATTTATCGAAGAAGTAACCATAGCCAAAGTTATTTTCATAACCCGGTTTAGTACCACCTGGTGAAGAAGGTCAAAGAATTACATAAACATGCAAGATCAAATTTGCTACAAAATTATTAATGAAAAATTAATCAAGTTTATCAGGGAAGAATACATCTCTGAAGACTTGTTTATGGCCAGCTGGATTTTGCAGTGAAAGCTTTCTATAGTACAAAATCGTCAAACATGCAGCAGCCTTCCTTAACCTTTACACCGAGGTCTATAAATCAGTGTCTCCATCCATTACAAATCCCAATAAAACCTACAAACCAGCTTTGCTGCATTGGTCAGTTTCCTAAAAGCCTAGTTCATGGCATTGGTTCCATTTGCACCTGTGCAGACTTTAGCAGGACAAAGTGTGGTTATATTTAATAAATATAGCATTTTATAAGGATTTAATTAGTTATAAAATGGCATTGTGTACATTTTTCGGCTCATTTCCCACTCCCTTTCTGTTTACTAAAAACTTTCCTTCATATTTTTCCTCAAATTTGTGTATAAATATAAATAAATTAAGGTTTAAAGAATTTATTAGTGATCTGTGTAAACAGGTTTTCTCTTCTTACTTTTTTTTTAAAACCACATTAACTCTTGCATTTTCCCAAATACCAAGTATTTTGTGTGTACTTAAAATGCCATAGTTTTACAACTATTTGACATAATCTCACAATATTTTGTATTTTTGCATCAAATTGAATGAAGAACAAATTTCAAGAAAAAAAAAAAAGATGTTTATTCTGTTTTGCATCATCATCATCATGTGGCTGTAGATTGGTGCAAAAAAAGGCAACCAAACTTTTTTTGGGGGGATCTGACAACAATTTAAACTAATAAAAGTGTCATATTTTTAAAAAATATTCAACATTTATCATATTTTGTATTTTTACAAAAAATTGGGAAAAAAAGGGGGTTTACTTTGTCTGAAATAATCATCATCATCATGCGGCTGTAGATTGTTGCACAAAAAAAAAAAAAAAAAGGGCAACTAAAAATCTTTTGTCTGACAACAATATAGACATAAAAATGTCATTTTTCCAAAAACATTCAACAAACATTTACTATAATTGGTATATTTGCACAAAATTGAACCGAGAACACATTTGTAAGGGATAAAAATGGGGTTTATTTTGTCTGAAATATCATCATCAAGTGCTGTAGATTGTTGCAAAAAAGGCAACTGAAAAATCCTTCATATTTATCATTGACATAGCCATCAAACTGTTCAGTAGTGTCTTCAAATTCACTTTTTGAAGCAAAACCAAGAAAATCACATATCAGTTCTCATTATGTCTAGTGGCACATGAGGCTTCAGAGAGGACTTTCCATGCTTTCCTGTCCTGTGCAATCTTCAGTGCAGTTTTCCATGTCAAAGATGCCGCACTCAGGTCACTCTCCATCGCCTGTCTCCATGTTGTTCCTGGGCGCCTCTGTTTTCTCTCCCCCCCCCCCCCCCTCCGCGTCCATGCGAGAGCTGTCCTGGCGGGTACACCAGAATTCACTCTCCTAACACGGCCAAGCCATATCCATCCTCTCCCGGCCACCATACTGTCCAAAGTTTCCTGGTCTGCGACCCAAAGTAGTTTAGTGTTTGAGACCGCATCTGGCCAGAAAATTTTGATAATTCTACGTAGACATGTGTGGTGAAAGGCGGACAGCCCGTGTGCACCCCCCTTGGTCACTTTCCAGCACTCCCCTCCACAAAGAAGAACTGGCAAAATAATGCTCCTGCAGAGTCGCAGTTTCGCTCCTCTGCAGTAACCGTTGGATCTTCAGACATGCCCTATCCCTCAGAAAGCAGCTCCAGCTTAGTTCAGATGTGACTGTATGTCCTCCTCGGTCCCTCCAGGCAGGGACACCACACCGCCAAGACATGGACAATGCTCCACATCTTCAAGGATCCGGTTATCCATGGTCACCGGCTGTTGACCTGGACCACCCGCCATGATCCCAGCTTTCGTTGCACTCACTCCCAGTCCCACCACCTCCGCCGTGCCATGCAGTCTGTCACTCCCTTCTTGTACATGTTCATGTCCATGTCATAGGAGTGCTACACCATCTGCAAAATCAAGGTCCCCAAGCATGGTGAACAGAGTCCATCGCACGCCCCCCAACGTCATGTCCCCTGTGTTCTCCAGCATCCAACCAATCACAAGGCCGAAGAGGAGAGATGACACAACACATCCCCGTCCCACACCCGTCTCCACCGGGAAAGATGCACTGTAATTTTTTATACTGCAGGAATAGTCTTCACAGAAGAGAGCAACCATGTTCCAGAAAAAATAGTCAACATGGTTGCAAGAAAATCACATGCATCATCAGAAACATTAGGAGAAATATGACCATCACGATGGTTTTGAGAATTTAACGCCATAATGAAAATTGCCTCAATGTCTCACTTACATGGGAGCTAACTAAGAAAATGCGTAAATATGTTCTTTAAGCACTACAAAGTTATCTCCCTTAATTTATCATACAGAAGTAAATAAGCTGAAGGCTTAAACTTAATTGATCATACAAATCGCGATTTTAACATGACAATGAGCGTCCAAAGCTACAATCGCAAGAGGTGCGACCTTGGGAGCAAGAAGTAAACATTGCCCCATCACATAACGTGCGACTCTGATAGTCAGTGGGTTAAAGGATTTTTTTTTACAGAATTCCTGGGTTCTTGGGCTTTTTCGTAGTTTCCATGGTGAGTGAGTTAATATAACATGAATGGTAGATTATGGTGCTACTTTGTTACCTAATGTGTTCCAGTAACACATAGGTAAATTATAATTAAACTTTAGAAAACAAAATATCTGAGAAAGGCTGCAGGAGTGACCAGAAAGATTAAGTCAGGAATGAAATCATAAGAGGAAAAAGTCACACAGAACTTGTACCAAATTACATATAAAGACAATTAATAATATGGTCTGCCCACTTAGAATGCCTTGCTACACCACAATTCTTCTTAACTTTCACCATCTGTAAACTCCTGCACAACTTCCGGTTAAAATGGAGGATAAGGCATGGCAGAATGTTCAGCTTCAAGGTTATTTTTCCTTCTGACAGCCTTTTACTAATGCAGTTTCCACATATGGATGGTAGTCTACAGTTTCGCTGCCTGAGCCACTAAGTTTAGTGCTTGGTGCAGTCCTGTGAGATGTGGTTTTTTTTCATGTGGAATGCCTTTTATTTGTGCAGCAGTTGTAGTGTGGTATTCAATATGGCCGGCAGCCAGTTTGCATGTGAGCTTTAATAATTATGTGTGTGTATAATAGCCAACTAATTCCATCAATGTCAAACTGCATTTCTGGTAGTGACTGTTGGCTGCGGTGTTTCTGGCAACTGAAATTTGCATTTACTGCATGTGCGTATTTCTGGATTGTTCCGGGACCAGTTGTTTGTTCATCAGTTTTTTTTCAAATGCGACAGTGAAGGACATTTCATTTCATTTGCACTGGCACAGGAATGAAGCAAGAATGGGGAAACCCGATTGCAATGAAGTTGAAACCTCGAATAAGACTTCCTTATGCAGAAAGTTCTGGCTGTTCGTCTACCGCTTGACTTCATGTCCAGGAACATATTGGTTATATGGTGCTAACCACATTTTTTATAGACCAATTGGCATCAATGGATGGCATGCAATATCATGATGGCCACTTTTACTTCCCATAACATTTTCTGGCACCTATTTTAGACTTGACTAACTAGGAACCCAAATAAATGTAAACAAAATTCCTGCTTTGACTAGATTCAAACACATGAGACCAGTAATCAGGCATTAGTAACATATGAAGTAAAGATATGACAGCTTGTAATATTCTAATGCTGGCCACCTTGATTTCCCACAACATTTTCTGGTATCTTTTTAAGATCTGAACAATAAAAAGACCAGATAAATGTAAATAAACTCTACGCCTTGACCAGATTCAAATACATGAGACCAGTACAAATAGGCAACTGTGCTCCCACCTCACTAACATATGGCTCCCTGGTGAAGATATGACAGTCTATAATATTTCCACCAAATATAAAATTATTTATGACTAAATAGAAATATAAGTTAGAAAGCCAGCTACTAACCTCTAATAGGGCTAACCTTGATTTCAATATCAAAATTGTAACTGTTTAGGTTTTCCCGTTTCATCTGAAATGTGGCAGTGTCCCCTGTTGTTTGAAATCTCTTTTTATACATCAAAAAATTGCTTTTGCAGTCAAAGGACATCTAAAAGAATGAAAACAATTTGTGAAAAGCTCATGAAATAAATAGCAAACTAACAGGAATGTAAACTTTTGCTATTTATAAAATATGTTTACCTATTGAAGCAGCAGTTTGACTGCACGGGGACATACAAAGAAAGACCCATTGATAAACATTGTAAAGACAACATCAACTTTTTAAAGCCTTAACAAGATATGGAACTCAAAATTATAGATTTTATTTTATACTGCAAGGGAAGTCGCCGTGGCGTTGGCGGCTGACACCCGCCTGCAGATCCTAAGGACATGGGTTGGCGTATTGACAGAGCTGGAAATTTTTTTAAAAAATGACCTGTACTCCCAGGTCAGTCCAGCCAGGTGTAGTCCTGGGAAGTAAACGTGGCTGGCGTGATGCTGACCACATCACCCACCAAGTGCCGATTGGTCTATAAAAATATAGGTCTAGCCCTATAGTCCCCATACGCCTGAGAAAGGGACCTTTACTTTACTATTATATACTGCAAGAATGAAAAAGAAGAAATTGGAAGATTAGGACTGAACCCTGTCATTCACTACATTAAAGATCAACAGATAAGATGATGTGGCCATTTGACTAGAAAGTCCTGGTATAATGAACATAGAGCTAGGGGAAGGCCTTGCAAAATATGGAATTACAGCATCAAGAACTGCCTTAAAGAAAGGAAGATCAACTTACACAAAGCATCACTATACTCAGAGAAAAGGCAAGACAGACTTTTAACCAGATTGTGGTACCATCAGTACTGGAACTCTGCGCAGGCTGCTGAAGATGAGGATGGAGCATGCATGGGAATGCCTTGAGAGCTGTGATGTCAAATCTCAAATCAACTCAACACAATGCATCAGAAAGTGCACACAGAAGATGCTTACATCTTCGGCAACATTTCATGAAGTAACAGGTGGCTCCCAGTGATATTAGGTGCAACCACGTCTGCAAATGGCAGAGTGTCTGTGATCTATTTGAAGAAGAAGTACTCTAAGCACTGAGTGCTAACAATGATTTAGACAGTGCTATGAATGTTAATGTTTTAATCTCTTGTGGTAAACAAATCTTTATTTGCACATTTCACTATGGATCATCACCCTGGCGTGACATTTCTTATACATCACATAGGCAGCTATTGTTGCTGACACTGCGGTTGCTATGGTTGGCCTCGTACTGAACAGAAGTGATGTTATCAATGCCATGCGCTGCACTTACAGTACCGAGGAGCACACAAAAGGACATGACACCGTATCCATGTCTAGACTGATGGAGCTGCAAGAAATGAACATTTCGCTAAAGGGACAAGACGTTTCATTAACCAACACAGAACAGGCGTCATTAGTTGTTTTACACTTGTGGAGCTTTTGAGGAGGAGATTGGAGCACCTATAGATCTGTCCGGAGAGCTGTTATACCTTTCTAATCAATAACCAATCAATAATCACATAAGCATATCCATCACATGTGATCTGTGCCATTTCTTTCTCTCCATAGTAGGTATGGAATCTAGATCATTAACCCTAGCCTCTCATCAATGTTCACCCATCGTAAATTTTCTCTGGGACATCTTTGCTAATCCATTTCTTTTCCATTTCACCGTCTGTTTTGTGATTCTTTTATTTTTCTATGAATGATAATAAAAGCCCTTATACAAAAATAGTATACAAAGAATAGTTTCGACTACAAACATACCAACTGAAGACTATTTTCATCCCCATCGAAGATAGTCACAACCGTAGAGCAGTCTTGTATGTTCATAGCTTTCACCTCAATGTCAAGGACCATACCTTGAAACTGTCCTGATGATCGCAGTCTAATAACACAAGATTTTGGCCCTAGCCTAGTAGTGGAGATATCATTTCCTCTTATTGTAGCCTCAAACCCAAACAGTTCACGAGTGGGGCCATTGCAGTCACTGTTGCTGTCCAAATAATCTGAAAATTTACAATGGAAAACATGTTACAGATATACAGCCCTGCAGAAAACTATGTACTGCACAAACAAAAATCAATTTCAAAAAGAATGGAGCCTGAAAACTTAAAACTTCATCCTGCAAATACTTTTACAAAAATGACTCATGAACCAATGGGAATCCCCCCCCCCCCCCCCCCCCCCCACCACCAAAAAAAATATTCTTTTAAGAAAATAATTTTACAAATGTCATAAAGACATTAAACAACTTTTATTAAATTATTTATCTAAATTTAAAAAAAAAACATTAAAATTCTGGAAATATATAAAGATATTTAAAGACAGTAATCAATAAACAAGAACACGGTGAAGCATTAAATGAATACACTACCCAGGGCTTAAAACATTATGTATTAGGTGACACATGCTGTGACCTCCATCAATGAGACTACAGGAAAATCTCGTGTCAACATTACTTTAAAAAGGTCATCTGGTTCACAAGAAAATTCTCTAAATACAAGATTATAGTTAGGTTAGGTTAGTCGCGTATCTTTTACAGGACGTTGCAGAACCAACCCCATCAGCCCCTGGCTGTTGTGTTCACTAGTCAAATTTACGTCCAGTAGTTTGCTATTGCTTTCTGGACGGTCAGCTCCCTGATACCACTGTTGAAACCAACGCAAGGCCTTTGGCCCGCAGCTGGGATCGAACCCGGTACCCAGGCATTACAAAGCGCTCGCATCGACTTAGCCACAGAGCCGACAAGATTATAGTAAATATATTAATATCCAGACCTGCTAATTGCTGCGCAGGCACAAAAACAACCAATGACATTAAATAGGCATCTCATAAGCAAATCACTGTAACCAACTCACGAAGTATTCTGAGAAAGGTGGAGACTGGTATGCTCCATGAAGAGTATCAAGCATCGCTTCAGAGGTTAGAGGTAGTTAGTGTCCTTTGGAGATTTTCTCTAGGTAATGCCGGTGTATTACAAAATGAACAGGCAGATAGACTGGCTGGTTCTGCACAACCTGGAGGTTGTGATGCATGACAAGCTAAATAATGTAAAGGCCCTTTGGGGGTGAGTAAACAGTGCGGAAGCAAAGATAGTTCGTCATGGTCTGAAGAGAATGATACAGCGAGGAGAGACCAGGGCATGTGATGAACAATCAGCACTCAGGGAAAAGGTAAGATGGATTTACAATCAGACTGCCACTGGTACCACTGGAATTGGAACTGACTTTTGCTACTGAAGATTGGGACGGAGCACTGATGGTAATGTCCCAAGTGCTGTGATGTTGATTCTTGATTAAACATTAAACATCACTATAGAAATAAAGGTTCAGCTGCATTTACGGAGAACTGGACTCTACTGGTTTGCAGTTTCTAGGGTAGGCAGACAAAGCCATTGGCCTTGGTTATCAGCTGGTTTAGAAGGGAAGCTCCCAGAGGCAGGCAGACAGAAAACTGCTCTTCTGATTCCGCAGATTTTCCTGCATTTTCCCCACAAACCATATTCCATGGAGTAAACAGGGCAGACAGGAAGGGTGGGTTGCTGCATGGGCAATACGCAGCATCCACAATACTGCTGAAGTGTTGTGCTATAGTGCTTCTGATTGTGGGAAAACTTTTGAAAGTGCTTTGTTAGCCACACTCACCATAGCCATGGGCTGTGATTGTCATGCGTGCTTATACAGCACAGTTTAACACTATTTGTATAACAGAAATGCGCAATGTAATAAACCCTAAACTGTGATACTTACAAATAGTGTTTGCAGCATTAGCATTGGCTCCATCCTGTGCTGTATTTAACTGGCCAAGTGTAACACGGACCACAGCTGTGAGTAAAACTATGGTCAACATGATCTTCACTGTTGTCATCCTCACTTTTATGACATCTTTATGTGACTCTTAATTTTGTTCTTGTTTTTCGGATAATCTGTTATCAAGGGAAAACAAAACACAATTTATTACACGTACATTTGTAAATCAATATGGACAATTCAAATAACAAATGTTAAAATAATTAAACCTATAAACTACTCAACACTGTCACCCCAAGAAGCCACAATAGCGAGACTTCTGGTTGGTACCATTTCCCCATAAAAGCCACATTACAGGCTCACTACAGAGACATGTTTATGAGACATCTGGCTAATAGAATTAATTGCATCTGCATAAATGCTCAGCAAGACAGGATGACTGAATTTACTGAAAGTAACAATCAGGAGGGGGAGGGAGATAGGTTTACTTTTAAAAACATGGCTTCATTTAAAGAAATTTCTGCATCATATTTTCTCCATTGGATAAAGTTACCAGGCGACTGGGTCAGGTGTCAAGCTATAATTACTTTACAGGCACCAAGAGATGTAATGTTATCAATTAATCTAATTTCGTCCTTCTTATTATGAAATTTTTTGTTATTTGAAGCCCCATCCTGGCTTTTGCCAAGGGCCGCAATATATGCAGGCCATAAATATGGCCAATTGTCTGAACGCGGTTTCTGGGACCTCTCCACGGCGATCCTCATCCAGATGGTGGCACTTTGTGTCATTGGGTGTTTATCGCTTGCGTGATGTCCTAGTGGGGTAGAAAGTCAGTCAGTCAGTCAAGAGATGTAATCCGGTTGATTCTATGCTGCATTCATATGAGGTGAGATAACCAAGTCCCTTCTTTGTCTTTCCATCCCAGCAGGGGAAGGGGGTTTGTTTTTTAACTGACATGGCAACTGGTATAGCAGCTATACGCTCACTTGCAGGCCTGAAGGTCTTAGTTCAAATCTACAAGGAGTGGGAATTTCAAACATGACTTTGGTTGTCAGGTTGACCAAACCTAAAATGGGTACCAGGCAAAGTCATGAGAAGTAAAGGCGGCTGGTGTTATGTTCACCGAATGCTGATATGGTCTACAAAATAAAGGTCTAGTACTACATACCCATTGCACATAAGGGCATGGAAAAGGGTCCTTTACTTTATACTGTCATCAGTTCTGGTCAGATTTTGATACTCTGCAATCTTTCCTAAAAATATCAACACCAGTGTACTGACCAAAATTACTTGAAATATTATAGTACTGAAAAAAGTGAACACAGTTCAACTGAGTTCAGTTATATCTATGACATACGTGTGCAGCTGGTTCTCAGCATGCTCTGTGAGTCTGTTATAACTATGACATACGTGTGCAGCTGGTTTTCAGCATGCTCTGTGAGTCTGTTATAACTATGACATACGTGTGCAGCTGGTTCTCAGCAAGCTCTGTGAGTCTGTTATAACTATGACATACGTGTGCAGCTGGTTCTCAGCATGCTCTGTGAGTCTGTTATAACTATGACATACGTGTGCAGCTGGTTCTCAGCATGCTCTGTGAGTCTGTTATAACTATGACATACGTGTGCAGCTGGTTCTCAGCAAGCTCTGTGAGTCTGTTATAACTATGACATACGTGTGCAGCTGGTTCTCAGCATGCTCTGTGAGTCTGTTATAACTATGACATACATGTGCAGCTGGTTCTCAGCAAGCTCTGTGAGTCTGTTATAACTATGACATACGTGTGCAGCTGGTTCTCAACAAGCTCTGTGAGTCTGTTATAACTATGACATACGTGTGCAGCTGGTTCTCAGCAAGCTCTGTGAGTCTGTTATAACTATGACATATGTGTGCAGCTGGTTATCAAGCCAGAGGAAGGTTGTACTGATTGCCTCTACCTCCATTCTAAAACTAGATGTAATGGTATCATATGCTAGGCTTTGTTGTACTAAATAATGTCCATTTGCTTGTGCTGTGAACTCCTAAGTATTCCTCTGCCTCTCACCACTGAGCCATCTGTAGAGTTAATCACATCCTCTACTTTAGAATTGCAATGAATCAGTAGCAAACAAAATATCCTGTTCAACTTATCTGGCTTATAACTGGGGTATAGAGAATGTTTTAATTATAATTCAACAATGGATATTTATGCTTATTAATATCATATCAGTGGTTGAACTTCTGATTCTACAATGCCTACCGGCCAGCCCTTACACTTCCTGCTCAGTGTGATTAGAATAATTCTGTCTGTTTCGGAAACACACTAGCTCAGTCCTCTGCAAAGCCTAGTAGTTTAAAGATACACATGTATGTCAAATTGTGACTTCTGCTTGCTCCAGCCAAGACTTTTCTCATTTAGGAGGTGTTTCTTGTCTGCAACTTCTCTGGGCGTGTACCTCATTTGCAGCACTTTCAGCCTTTCTGCTCATACAGTCGGTATTGCAAGGATATATAGCACATATTTACGAACTTATTTTAAACACTACTTGAGTCTTCTTCTTTTGTCAAAATCTGCTTGTGCCGCTAGGCGTCGCAGTCTATCAGATGACCATCTTCTTCTTGGTCTTCCCCTGCCTCTTGGTGTTTCGATTTTCATGTTGTATGCTCTTGATGCTGGCATCGTTGGTTCCATTCTCATTAGGTGACCAAACCATTTCATTCTTTGCTTCTCAATAAATTTAACGATGGATATGGTTCCAATAGTTCTTGTAATCACATCGTTTCTCACTCTATCTCTTCTGGTTTTATCATACTACTGGAGTATCTCTTGTAATACCTCCCCAGATGGAATTTATCACCTGCATTTCTAAATTCTGCATGCGTTCAAGTTTCAGCTGATGTTCATTCATCATGAGTGATGAAGACCACTTTTCATCCAAAGTCGTGGTGGTAGTGATAAATGAATTGACATACACAGGCATGAATGAGGTACCGTTGGAAAGAGATTGTAGTTTTATATATAAGTACTTTAGTCAAATTTTCAAAATGCCCTAATACCAATAAAACCAGCACAGTTAGATAGTTATAAACTTCATGGTATAAGAGCATTTTGAAAATTTGACCAAAGTACCTAAATACCTTGAGTGTTTACTAGTTTTAGTGCACTGATTAATAATACTTGTTGGTGAGTATTGAATTAATTTAATAATTCTCTGAGTCCCTAGGCCTACATGGTTTCAAACTTTCTGAAGTATAGGAAGCTTCTGCCGAAAGTGACATCCAGTTCAAGTAATAAATAACCAATAACATATTTTCATAGACTAAACATACCTTTGTATTTTGTTATTAATGGTTTCAGAGAAACCATACCTCGTTACCTTACAGCCCCTAATCGAAGTTGTGCTGGTAACAATGTCTCCTTCACTTCCTTGTTAGCAGGTACTCGAACTCGGTGTAGTCGATCACTCTCTCGTTGACTTTTGTGATATTTTAGAATTGGACACAGTAATCAAATATACACAAAACGTATATTTTAATCATTTTAGTATCTTGATTGTTTAAAATGTACCTAAATAATTGCACACCCAAGCATAATAATATAATTTTTTTTAAATGAAAGAAAGCTATCGTTTACTTATGTCTGTCCAGGTGACAATCGACAAGACCAGTGTTGCCACTTTGGATCTTTTGTATCCAAATTTAGATCTTTTTCATTGCGTTTAGATCCTGTTTTTGACGTTTAGATACTAAATATTTTTCTAGATACTTTTCATATGGAGTTAGATATTTTATAGATTTTTTTTCTTTTAGTGTAATTTTAATAATTATTGAGTAAAATATTTACTAAAATATTTTTGTTTTGGTCTGGCACGTACATTGTGGCAACTGCCATTACTTTAACTTTGAACTCTCACTAAGGTCAACACTCAAATATCTGACAACCCCGGTGCTGATTAATCGAAATCGCGCGTAAATCATACTAATTTTGTTTCAACCGTATCCTCACTGTGTTGTGAAGTATAGCTGTGATGCTGACTCTGTGTTTCTTTTTCATGTGATTTTTAAAGAATAATTGCTCACCTTCTTGTGTGGCTTTCACTTTGAAAAAACCTTTCAACATGCCAAAAGTAAAGTATGAGCAAAAATTTCGGAAAGAGTATTTGCATGATGACAAAATTAAAGACTGGGTGATGGCAGTTCCTGGGGATTTAACCAAGGCTCGTTGTAAGTACTGCAAGTGTGAAATTAAAGCGAAAATACAAGACTTAAAGAAGCATGCAGAGACTAACAAGCATAAAACTGCAGTTCCATTCAAAGATATTACACCGCTGACATCTGTTTTCAGAACTACACTGATAAATGAATCATCAAAAGTTGAAGGATCGGTCGCAATGTTTTCAAGTTGTCACTGTGCAATTTCCCACGTGACCATTTGATTGATTTGTTAAAAAAAAAAAAACACTTTTTCTGACAGTAAAGTTATGGATGATGTAAAAATGGATCGCAACAAGTGTACACTTATTAAAAGAAATCCTTTATTTTCTCACTTTGAAAAAGATTTGATCAGTGATATTTCTACAAATAAATATAGTTTATTATTAGACGAATCAAATGATATTTCGGTACTGAAAGTGCTTGGTGTGTGTATTATATATTACAGCAACAATACAGACAAAGTAGTTTCTACATATCTTGGACTAGTTCAATTGGAAAAGTGTGATGCAGAAAGTATAGTTCAAGAACTGAAGAACCTTTTAATCAGCAAACAGTTAGACTTGACAAATTTGGCTGCAATTGGTACCGATAAGGCCTCAATGAGGTTGGCATAAACAATGGCGTTTATGCCAAGTTGAAGGAAGCTATCCCATCGTTAATACTTATAAAATGTATGTGTCATTCATTGCAGCTAGCATTATCACATGCTTCATCTGAATGTTTACCAAGGAATTTGGAATACCTTATTGCTGAAATACATAACTGGTTTTCAAAATCATTTGTCAGACAACAGCAATACAATGCATTGTATTCAGCCTTAAATAATGGTTCCACACCACTGAAAATTCTGTCAGATTGCAAAACCAGGTGGTTATCAATACAACCAGCTGTTGAAAGAATTGTGAACCAATGGTTGGAGTT